GGATGATGTGGTGTCACACACATAACGCCATGCCTGATTTGGTCTCAGGAACTTTCTCCTTGAGAGGGTTTTATCTAGCAGAAAAATTCCCGAAATTTAGGAGCTAATGATGCCTATGTTAGCGATTAAATTCAACTAAAATGTAAACGGGCAATCAAAAGAGGAAGTATTATAAGAGTAAAAGTGGAATTGGACTCGTTTAACTCCAGACATTCGGAGAAATCAAGCATGTCCGACCGACACTTAGCTTTTATATATATGTATAAACCTATTTGTAATTGCATGAAGTAAATTAAGACTAGAATTAACAAAAATATTATGACTTTTCTTTAGCTTGGCTGTAACAAGAAGAAACTTAACAGATTAAAGTATACAATACTCTTATATTATATCGTTACGTCAGAAGCTAAAATGGTCAATAAGACGAAAGGTAAATGACAAAACTACATGTAAGTTAATCTAAAGCGTGAATTTCGATTTACAGTTTTGCGGGGTATGTACTATGTGGTTATCATCACTTTACAACAGTTATTTTACACTTGAAGAGGTGGTAAAAATTAAAGTGATCAATTTTCTATATACATATATTTTTATTACCAGATTAGGTAATACAATACTTTTAGTAATATAATATACACTAAAACTTTGAAGTTTATTTTAGGAAACCAGAAACTTTCCTTCGTAAAATTAAATAATAATCATCATAGATCGTTTGTTATTATTGATTAGTAGCTTATACAATCACGTAATTATAAATTAGTTAATAATACTTAAATTATAGGATATAAATCATACACGAGAAAAAGAAAGCTTCTGTATCCACCTAACTAATAACAAACCCAGTGTACCTAGCATAGAAATTATAAAAACCTGGATTTTCCTTTTAACCAGTTGTAACATTTTCGGCTACTGCCTTCAGTCAAGTCCTGAAGTTTGAAGTTTTTATTAAAAAAGAAGAAGAAAAGCCCCCCAGTGGCATAGCAATATGTCTGCGGACTTACAACGCTAGAAACCGGGTTTCGATACCCGTGGTGGGCAGAGCACAGATAGCTCTTGTGTAGCTTTGTGCATAACAGACACTCATGAACAATCAGATATCCAAGCTTATATCATTAACGTAAGTAGTGCTCATGAACAATCAGATATCCAAGTTTATATCATTATGCTGCTAAACCATTCCGGATAATAAATAGGATAGCTTTTAATTTAACTTCAAATACATGTGTGTCATTTCTAACCCATCCATTGGTAAATATTTTAGTGGTAACAACTAAGACTTTATCACTATGTGTCTTATTATAAAGTATTGAATACTTTTTCACGTCATTTCGTTTTTCAACGAGGAAAATTCGATGTTCTTAATTTAGATGACATTTCCAACTTATTCAATAGTTTTAATTATTGACCTTTTCCTTGCGTAACCTACTTAGGTCACCCGGACTCACCAGTCACTCTGAAAGTCTGTAATTTCACCCATAACTCTGCCTTTCTGCAGTGGGATCCTGGATTCGATGGAGGATTCCCTCAATCGTACAGAATCCGTTACAAGGGAACTGACTACAAGATGTATCAGTACGTAGATCCCAAACCTTCTAATACCACTATGTACACTGTTTCTGGATTGGTTGTTGATACTGAATACACTTTCAGTGTACAAGCGTACAACGAGTTAGGTGTCAGTGAATTTACAGCTGATATTGTGAAAGTCAAGATTCCCAGTAAGTTTATTTAACATGTAAGTAAAGTATACATGTGCATTAACAGTTTGCTTCATTAATGCAGATAATTCATAATTAACCACGAGAACAAACATATAAACAACACTATTTCAGAAACTAATCAATGTTTTACAAACAAGGGTCAATTATTGTATAGCGGTTAGATATCAATCGTAATCATGTTTAGTAGCTTATACGATCACTTAAATCTAATTAGTAGTTACTGACTAATTATGAACTTCACTACTTACGTTAATGATATAAGCTTGGATATCTGATTGTTCATGAGCACTACTTACGTTAATGATATAAAATTGGATTGTTCATGAGCACCACTTACGTTAATGATATAAACTTGGATATCTGATTGTTCATGAGCACTACTTACGTTTAGATTCCAGGATAATCTTCGTATTATCGAATCCTAGCTCATTTTTGGCCACACATTCATACTCCCCGTAGTCATGGTTTTTGACACGTTTCACGTACAGAACACTCTCCCACGTAGTTAAGTCAAGCACTGATGTTTCAGTATAATATTTGTCAGGTCTGACATTATCACTAACAGTGGCGCCCTCGCGTGACCATGTAAAAGTGATGTTTGGCGCACCCTTGGCTCGACATGTAATCTTGGCGATTTCATCTTTTTCACTGGCAGCTTTTAATAGAGGTGGTGACTGATCAATGATGGGTTTGTCTAAATATGACAAACAAAAACGCGTAATATTATGCATTTCTAGTAAACTTTGTCAAAAACATATAATGAAATAAGTTAGTTTTTCTTCTCCTCTGTTAACAAATATTCTAGGCGATATTTATTCTGTTTGGCTTCATAAAATACACATTTCTTTGAATAATTGAAACATATGAACTCGGAAAAAATCTCTAAAACTGCACTCTTCTTGCTACCAAAAACTAGTTAGGTAGCATCTCACTTAGTTTTAACCTTCAAGTTTGTACACTGTTTACTACAGTTGTGGTCAACATGTTGCATCATATTTGGTAACAGTACGTTTTTTGCCTGTAACATCACTCAATGTAAAAAAAATAACCAAAAACAATTCAAATCACCAATTTTTTATGTATACACCGAGGGCCTCAGCAGTAATTAGTAGGATTCAATTCATTATTTATAGTATTTCTTGTCATTATTTATGTAACTGGTATTTTATTAGAAACCCTGTAACCAAGAAAGTCATGGGTTCACAAAGAAAAGATAGTACACAAATATTTATAAAACCTAGTGATTGGGCCCGGCATGGCCAGGTGGTTAGGGCGCTCGACTAGCAATCTGTGAGTTCGAATCCCCCGTCACACCAAACATGCTCGCCCTTTCAGCCGCATGGGCGTTAAAAAGTGGCGGTCAATCCCACTATTAGTTGGTAAAAGAGTAGCCCAAGAGTTGGCGGTGGGTGGTGATGACTAGCTGCCTTCCTTCTAGTCTTACACTACTAAATTAGGGACGACTAGCGCAGATAGTCCTCGTGTAGTTTTGCGCGAAATTCATAACAAACCAAACCTAGTGGTTTCATATGGACACGTCGGTTGAAAATTTTTGGTTAAACCAGCCAGATTGTTGGCTTAGAATATTACATTTGCACAATTTTATGGCAACAGTTATCTAGAAATCGTAGTGTAAATTCAGAGGCGGATTTCATGTTAATCAACAATTTTCAGTCGGTATCAAATATCTCTCTTCTTCAACGATATCAACTTTCTTTAGATGAATAATCATTTCAAACATTTTAAAACCTTTATTATTTAGATCAGCAAGTAATCTTGGTTGATCATATAATATTATGTCTTAATCTTGGTTGATCATATAATATTACGTCTTAAAGCCAAAATGTTTTATAACAGTTTTACAACAAGAATAAAATATAATTTGAACTTCAGTACCTAAGATGCAGAAAATTAAAAAAATATGCCATTACGTACGTTTCACCACCAGGTAGGCTTTTTTCAGGTTCTTCTCTCCAATACCATTATCTGCTATGCATTCAAAAACTCCTGAATCTTCCCAAGACACGTCGTAAATCGTCAAAAGCGAACGGCCATCTTCGAAAGATTGTTTAGTTCGATTCATTTCGTAGTGATTCCGACGCCACGAGATAATGTTATCAGTTACTGGGTTGGCATCGACCACACATTCTATGTCAACACTGGCACCACGATCGACCAATGTTATTTCACTTAACTTGGTTATGAAAGATGGATCTGAAAAATCACGGTAGAAATGTATACTGAAAGTAATATTCATTTAGTTAGTAAATGAACAAGATATTAACATATTGTTAACTAGCTTGGTACGTGTGTGTTTATTTGTATACGTATGCAACACGAAAATATGTCAACTCTATAAGGTAACACAACTCGAAGCATGACGAACTGAGAGCTTTACTTCTGATCAGTGCTAGGTTTTATCAGTCCAACTAAGTCGACTGTGACTAGCTGGAGCTTCTTCGTGTAAATTTATGTGTGGAAAGTGACTTGATGTAATATTTTACACACTAGAACACACATTTGTGCCCCTTTATTCCGAATGAGTTTGAAGATATTCAACCTTCCAGTTACCTTAACGACGTAGGTTTTCTTCACATATTCATGGGTTGGATATATGATATCACATTCCATTTTAATTTATCTACATTTATTGGTTGTATAATATTTTATATGTGAAGAAGCCAGTTCATTTCTCAATATCGACCCCCCGGTGGATCGGTTGTAAGTCTGATGGTCTATACTGTTAAAGTTTGGGTTTCGATATCCGTGATGGACAGAGCACAGATAACCCATGGTGTAGCTTTGTGCTTGACTAACACAGTCTCCATATTAGTTAATTAAATAGGAATGCTATTCTAAATCTATAATACTTTTACACCTTGTACACTCATATGATAGAGTGACACTGGAAATGAATAAATCTATAAAACATAAACAAGCCGACTCTAGTTTACATACAGACAAATAGTTATTTACTTAGAACTAAAATTTTGGATATAGAAAAACTTTTCCTCCGCTAAAAACAAAAACAATTAACTAAAAAAAACAAAACTACAAAATAAGAGGAAGTTTTCTCAAATGCAAAAAAAAACAACAACAAAAAAAATGCATTTCTTTCTCTCAACTAACTTAAGTTTTTTTCACTACTCAGATTCAACACATGGTAAATCTCTGAAATAGCGGCTCCAGATGACAGTGAAGACTAATTTGTCAACTGGTTATTATGACGTCAGATCAATTACCATGAAGTGTCACACAGAAAGATGACGGTTTAATTAGTATACATTATATAAACGTGTTCCTTATTGACAAATCAAAAGTTATAGTTTAAAATCTTTCATTGTGAAATACTTACATTGCACGTTCAGGACGATAATTATTTCTGATGCTCCTTCTTCATTGGTAGCCTCGCACTTATATTTACCACCATCAGTTCTTACTGCGTTGGTGACTTTCAGAATTGGACCATTGGAGGAAACACCAACATTTTTAAAGTAGTTTAACTTTCTGTCCTCTTGAATATTGATTACAGGATTTCCTACTTTTGCCCATCTGTAGGTGATGATATTAGGGTTCCCCCTGGCAGTCAAGTTAATAAACGTAGACTTTCCTTCTACAATATCGTAGATTTCCATAGGGCTTTTGTAAAACTCTGGCTTATCTAACAATGTAAATGAGATGTTACATTGTTGCAGTGATGGCGATAAAGCTATAGTCTGTTAAGACATTTTTGATTAACAAGAGTGCTGTTTTTTTATTAATTTAACATTGTATTGTTAAAGTTAACAATTCCTACTATTAAACGGTAGTAACGTGGTTTACAGATAAACAATCGCTAAAAATTTACATTTTGTTGAGTACGGTTTTTTCTTATAATATGTAAAATTGCTTCTAGTTAAGAATTACGTCATAAGTTATATACAAGATATATATTATATTATGAATAACTTTATATATATATATCAAAAGTATCGAACGTGTTTCTGTCGAGTTCAATAAATTATTGCTGTTACAACTGCATCTTTTTTAAGATTTTAAACGAAATTTATATTTCCATCTTAAGAGGTAAATATAAGCATTATTTGTTATAACTTGAAACCAAGTACGGGTAAATTTGAATGTTAGATAATATTTAATGGAAAAAAATGAAGAATACATCAGTAGAAACTGTAACACACACACACACACAAAATAAATACTCATTAAAACTTATTGATCCAATACAAAATCTCTAATAGTTTGTCTTTATTTGACAGTAATCGTAGTGAACGAAATGAATAAAAACAGGAAGTAGCTTTATTTTCGAGTTTCGCTGACTCCATGAGAGCTTCTGCTTCCTTGAAGGAGAAACTCAAGCTGTCAGTGAATTACGTTTGAAATACATGAGAGCTTCTGCTTCCTTGAAGAAGAAACTCAAGCTGTTAGTGAATTACGTTTGAAATACATGAGAGCTTCTGCTTCCTTGAAGGAGAAACTCAAGCTTACAGAGAATTATGTTTGATATACTTAGTCGTCTGTCATTGTTACTATGTGGAAAGTTATTTTTCCGTACACAAAATGTACTTAGAAAATGTATTACTTACGTGATATATTTAATGTAACAGTATAATGTACACTAATCTCCATCGCTTCATTCATAGCTTGACACGTGTATTTGGACCCATTATCATCTGATGTCACGTTTAATTGTAGTATATTCCTCGACGACTTTCCGCCATGAGTTGCATTTAAAACGCTACCTGGTGTTCCTTGAAGGAGAAAGCCATCGTGCCACCAGGTGATAACGGAAACCGGATTACTACTGGCTGATTCACAAACAAGAGACACCTGAAGACAAGTCAGTTTATTTCACACTTCATAGACTAATAACAAAAAGAAAACTTTGAACACAAGAGGAAAATCACCAATCTTAAGAGACTGGAAAACAAATGAAGTAAAGAAACTAACGGTAAAGCACCGGATAAACAAATGAAGTAAAGAAACTAACGGTAAAGCACCGGATAAACAAATGAAGTAAAGAAACTAACGGTAAAGCACCGGAGAAATGCAATATACAACCTGAATTATTGGGGAAAAAATAATAAAAACGATGAAAAGAGAAAAAAGTGAAACCTTCAGTTTTCTATTCATTATTAACGAAAGGATTAAACTAAATAACTTACCTTACCACCAGCTCTCAGCTTTTCTGGTTTCAACTTTATGGTTACCCTAGATGGTGGAACTGGAAAATATGTTGTTTCTACTATTATTATCAAAAAACGTTTGTTAATATAATTCTCAGAAAAATTACGAGACGGCAGAGATTCCCCATGTCCTAGCTATGACAAAGGAAAACTACTGAGATTCCCCATGTCCTAGCTATGACAAAGGAAAAACTACTGAGATTCTCCATGTCCTAGCTATGACAAAGGAAAAACTACTGAGATTCCCCATGTCCTAGCTATGACAAAGGAAAAACTACTACAACATTTAATACTTTCATTAGTGTCTGAGATGATATTTCACCTTATTAACAAACTTTTTCTGATCAAAATACGTTTGTTGTTCTGAAGGAATACTTCTGGACATTGCCTTGAACAGTGTATAGTTGCAGATAAAGTCATACGACTGTCAATTGACATTCGTTTACATAAAAATGAACTCAAAGGTATCAGTAATTTTACTTCGTCAAAGCTAACATACAGGGAAACTCAATTATCCCTTGTTGTTTACAGCAACATATGTGATTTATACTTATTTCTAAAATGAAACAATATTTTAATGTTTGATTAACCTAATGATCTGAGGTGTTTTAAATTGCAATGAAAATACATCAATTTATACATGGCATCTTTTACCTGAATGTCACCTTATGCCATACATGTACTACACGGTCGGTTCAGAGACCTTAAGGTTAAACCACAGCAATTTCTAATTTAGATCTGCTGATCAGATGGAAGTCGATAGTACCCGCTGCCTGCACGGTACTCTTACCGAATACAATAATTGATTAACTATCTCGGTTTCCCACTGTTAAAAGTGTGGAGCAAATTTAGTGGAATCTCACAGCTAGAAGATTGGATATTACTGGGCCACTCCCGGTCTAAAAATATATTGCGCTTCATGTGTTACTAAAGGTCAGGTTACTTAAAACTGCTTTTGCTAAAAGACCAGCAAATGGACACAATACAATACTTGTACGTGTTCATGACTTGCTGCAAAACTAAAGTAAGAGAAAGAAAGTCCATTATTGTTGATCCTACTTAGCCACTTGTTAACGTGATATTTTGTTTATGCAAACTTATTATGCAGCGAAGTTAACTAAGTTTCTATAAAAAAAATCAATTTTAACATGTTAACATGATCCAATAGATTTTCAATGAGTGAGATTTAGTTAATTGATTATATGCACGAGGCTTTTCTTCTGAGCGAATAATACAATTTGATGATTAAGGAGAATGATTTAAGCATGTAACCTGTGAATAAAACATTCTATAACGAACGTATTCTTCATCATGTATATGACCTGTGGCTTTCCCTATGCATGAAAGTTTAGGTAACATAAAATGGTACTTATATATATCTAAGCTCGCAGAAAGTTTCAATTTTTAACATTGCTTTTTCAACCATTTTTGCAAAAATGTTCAACTTCTGAAAATAACCTTTTTCATGTTGAAAAACGTATTATACTTAGAATATGTAGAAGTATAGAAAACACGATTTAAAATAAATTATACTTGTTTTTTAACAGTGAACTTCATTGTTCTGATTTTATTATTGGCCAAGAAGTTCAAGAATTAATTAAATTAACCGACAAATAAATATATAATTTAAATATGGATTATGGTTTACAACCTTACACGAAAATAAGTAGACTATTAATTCTTTAATAAACATTTAAACCTTTTCGTAAAAGTTGTCAGAAGAAATTCAGTGAGGTCATAGAGAACTGCACTAGTAACGTGATAATAACGCAAAAACAACTTACAGTGAACATTCAAATTCATTTTAGAAATTAGGGGTTTGACTGAAGCAGAGTTGCTAGCCTCACAACGGTATTGTACGCCGTTGTCGCTTTCTCTGATCACTATGGAAACTTCACTGTTGACGACATTGCCGTTGGTAGTAGTGACTGAGTTGACCTGATTTAAATATGCAAAAAAAGGCCACGGTTTGAATTATCAATATAGAAAGCAAAATAACAAAAGTGTTACTGAAGTATTTAACAAAGTCGTGCACGACATTTGAACAACATGCTTGATTAACTGATCATAGCTCTTTGTTTTAAAAATGGATCTTTTTCTGAAAGACCCATTTTACGGACAAGGAAACGAAACCAACAAATTCACCTCTTCATCTCCTCTAAACCATTTCAAAGCAGGAAGAGGGTTTCCGCCATTGGAAACGCACGTTATCCGCTGCATCTCTCCGGCTCGTATCGGTTTCTCCTCAGAATAGCCAAGGATGTTTGGGGGTTCAGGGGGATCTGATGGGAGTCAGAAAAAAAGAATCAACTCGGGATATCGTTTTTATGTTTATTATGCCGTTACATTGAGATTCGAGCAAGTCTTAATTGTGGTAAAGAAGAAATCGAGGGGAACATTATTGTGTCTTAGCTAAATACGTCGGCAAAAAAAGGTGTACCATGAAAAACAAAACACACAATTCAACCGCCTTTTATTACTCATTTATCAAAGATCATTAAACGCTTGTTCAGTTCTAGAATCGCGAGGTATATCTTTATACATATAATTAATCATAGCCGCGTATAAACTTTTAGCTTAATTTTTATTTTTTTTATTTGTTTGTTTGTTGAATTTCGCGCAAAACTACCTAAGGGCTATCTGTGCTAGCCCTCCTAAATTTAAAAGTGATAGACTAGAGAGAAGGCAGCTAGTCAACACAGCCAACTCTTGGGCTACTCACAACCAACAAATAGTGGGATGGACCGTCATCTTATAATGCCTCCTCAGCTGAAAGGACGAGCATGTTCGGTTGTGGGATTGGAACCTGTAATTCAAAAATTGCGAGTCGAGTGCCCTAACCACCAGACAATCCCAGTCAATTTACCTTATCTTCAATAAAATTTTGGTGGTTACGGCTCTCGACTGGGAGCCTGAGGGTCGCGAGTTCGAATCCCCGTCGCTGAGCATGCTCGCCCTTTATGGTTGTCATCTTTGTCGGCCACCCGGGGGTAAATATTCTTGGCTTACAAAATTACTGGCAGACCCCCAGATTAGTTACTGAGAAGAAGATGATAATGATGACTGCAATGCAACATTATTTATATATATATGAGCTATTGTTAATACAGTTGATCAGGGTAACTTACACAGGATACTTAGAACGTATGATTCCACAATAGTTTCTCCTAGATCTTTGTTTGCAGCGAAGCACTGAAAAATCTTCGACAATCTCTCCTGGAATAACAAATTACTATAAATGTATGGATAAAACAACCAGTCAAACAGAGACTTAGGGCAATGAAAACATAAAATCAAGATTATCGTAAGTGACTCAATAAAGTCTTCATGGAGTTATCTTAAGCCGATTAAAGCTCTGTTTTACCAAGGAAGTTAGAACTCAATTTAAATATGTACATATGGATAAAAATTAAGTTGAAATAAAAAAAACGGCCATTAAAGCCTGTTTTATCCTCAATAAACTGAGAAGTGAATACAAGACACTTGTAACAGAACGTTTGATGCATTATTGCTGTTTTCAAACAAGAAACAGAATGCTATGGTACATTACCTGGGATTGAATGATGACAGTAATATTAGAGTTAGATATCCACCCACCCTCAGGATCAGCTGTAATAGTATTTGCCCCCTCCACGTGCTGTCCATCTACTAGCCAGTTAATATCGGCGGCTGGGTTACTGCGACTTGTTGCACAAGTAATAGTGACTGTTTCTCCTGGTTTCGCCTCTTTCGGTCCTGAAACCACAACTTCAGCTGGTGCAACTGTGATAAAATATCTCATATGAATATTGAATTCTAGGTATATGTATATATTGAAGGAAATTAATCAAAATATAAGTGAATGGTTTGTTTAAGATAGACGGATGGTTTAAGATAACACATAAAGATGAACTTTGTATTATTATACTTTTTAAGACAGTCTTAAAATTTCTTACTTTAGTTAACGATTAATCTCATAAATTATTGATACAAAACACGCAGATAAAACTCCTAATGATCGAATTATTTTTATATTCATGATATATTTAATGAAATCATAAATTGTTTGAAACGTTAATTTATGGATACGTAAAATATTAAACGTTGCTTTAAGATACATTTAAGTTTTCCAGAAATTGTATGTACACGTAATGACGAAAAACTGTAATATTTAATATTGCTATGTCTCCGTTCGTCAGTTAATTTTCCGTAAATTCGTTCTTACGAAACTTTAGCGACACAAGTCCTTTCTTAAATAAAACTGGTTTGTTCTCTCTGAATACAACTTTGCGATACACTTAATTTCAACAGTCGCCCTATAACAAAC